GGGGTGGGGGGGGAAGGTCCCCCCCAGCGGGTCCGTCAGCAGCACCGGCCGCCGGGCGAGGTGGGACGTCGTCGTCTCCAGGTCGGCCAAGAGGGCGTCTGGGGACAGGGTGGGGGTGAGGGACCCGGGCGTCTCCGGGGGATCCCAGGGGTCCTACCCCTCCCACCACTAAGGGACCCAGGCGTCCAGGATCCCACCCATCCCAGCTCCCATGGACCCAGGTATCCGGGGTCCCATCCGTCCCAGCATTGAGGGACCCAGACGTTGGGACACCCGCCCATCCCACCATGAAGGGACCCAGGCATCCAAGGTCCCACCCATCCCAGCTCCCGTGGACCCAAGCATCCTGGGTGCCACCCATCCCACCACGAAGGGACCCAGGCATCCGGGGGGACCCAGGCATCCAAGGTCCCACCCACCCCAGCTCCCATGGACCCAAGCATCTGGGGTCCCATCTATCCCACCACGAAGGGACCCAGGCATCCGGGGGGACCCAGGCATCCAAAGTCCCACCCACCCCAGCACTGGGGGATCCTGACAACCAGGGTCCCATCCAACGCCTCCTCCAGGGACCCAGGCGTCCGGGATCCCCCCCATCCCACCGTATCCGGGGTCCCATCCGTCCCAGCATTGAGGGACCCAGACGTTGGGACACCCGCCCATCCCACCATGAAGGGACCCAGGCATCCAAGGTCCCACCCATCCCAGCTCCCGTGGACCCAAGCATCCTGGGTGCCACCCATCCCACCACGAAGGGACCCAGGCATCCGGGGGGACCCAGGCATCCAAGGTCCCACCCACCCCAGCTCCCATGGACCCAAGCATCTGGGGTCCCATCTATCCCACCACGAAGGGACCCAGGCATCCAAAGTCCCACCCACCCCAGCACTGGGGGATCCTGACAACCAGGGTCCCATCCAACGCCTCCTCCAGGGACCCAGGCGTCCGGGGTCCCCCCCATCCCACCACGAAGGGACCCAGGGGGACCCAGACGTTGGGACACCCACCCATCCCACCACGAAGGGAACCAGGCATGTGGGGTGCCATCCATCCCACCATGAAGAGACCCAGATGTCCGGGGGCACCCAGGCATTTCGGGGGACCCAGCCACCCGGGGTCCCACCCATCCCAGCTCCCATGGACCCAGACATCTGGGGTTCCATCCATCCCACCACGAAGAGCCCCAAGGTGTCCGGGGGGACCCAGACGTTGGGACACCCCCCATCCCCAGGCATCTGGGGTCCCCCCATCCCACCACGAAGGGTCCCAGGCATCTGGGGGGACCCAGGCGTCAGGGGTCCCACCCATCCCACCGCTAAGGGTCCCAGGCATCTGGGGGGACCCAGGCGTCCGGGGTCCCCCCCATCCCACAGCTAAGGGTCCCAGGCATCTGGGGGGACCCAGACGTCGCCCCC